AGCCCCAACGAGTGGTGGGAGGACCAGTGGGTGGGTGGGTGAGGGAGGGTTGAAGTGCATGCAGTGCATGGCATGGTAAGGAAAGGGGAGGCCACCCCATCCCAGACTTTGGTTCATTTCATAATAATCACTCATTCTGAAGGGTGCAGATTGACTGAAAGTTGTTATGTTGTGTCCCCTGTAGGAAAAACTCCAGAACATCCAGTGCCCACTGAGCATACAAAAGATAGCTTCTGTGCCTCTCTGCTCAGGAGTAGATTTGTTTATTTATTTATTTAATTTATATGCCAGTGTGACAGCTTTCAGGCATAGCTAAAGCATAGCTGAGAACTGTGCAGGCTTCAGAAATAGCTTCTTATCTCCAATCGCTGACCCATAGCCTCTTATCTCTGATTGCTGATTAAAGAGGAGAGTGGAAGTGGCTTGGGGGGCTGGTTGAGGAACCCCCTATGGGCCGTCTCCAGTCCAGAGGCCCGATAGTCCCATTCCTGTTGTCCTGGAGGAGACTCACTGAGATTGCTTCTTTCCCTCTCCCCCTCCCGCTTTGCTTCCTACAGACCCAGCCTCTTAAGCGCCTCTGAGGAGGTCACCAACTGGCCAGAACGTCTGTCTTTGCTTCTGTTTTGCACATGTTCTGAAGGACGTGTCACGTTTCTCCTCATTGCTTCACTCTCTTGAAGGGCGAGTCCTCTGTGGCCCAGAGGCAGCCCTCCGGCTCCCCTGGCCTGGCCTCGGCCGCGGAGGAAGCCTCGCGCGCAGGACAGAGGAACTCTCCTGACCACGCAAAACAGAAGGACTTCCCTGCAGGATGGGGTGGGGAGGGGGCCTGGCCTGGGAGAGTGCCGGGCAAGGGAGCAGACGGGAGCCGCCCCCCTCCCTGCCGTCCTGGCCTCGGGTTCGGATCATACAGCTAAGCCACCATGCCAAAGATGCTCCGCTGCCCCCCCTCTGTTGCCCCCACAACTCTCGGCAGCCGACTCCTGGGCATCGAAGCGGGCCGGATGGGGCTGCTCTTCGCTTGGGGGGGGATTGGGGGGTCCTGCCTCTGCCACAAGGAGGCAGGAGGTGCGACCTTGCCAGGGTGGCTCCTTCCCTTCACGGTCGGTCGGGAGGAAAAGAACGGTCCTGAACTGCCAAACAAAAGGAGGTGGAGAGGGACTCGACGTGTCACCGCCCTCCTTCCCACGAAAGACTTCCTCATCCACCATGGGGGCCGGAGGGGGGGGGTGTTTGCTTTTTTTAAAGGACCAGTTTGTGACGGGACCCCCTGCACCCTGAAACAATGACATCTCGTCTCCCTGGGTGAAAATAAAGGGGTGGGGTGGGGAGGAGGAAGCTGATTGCTCCTGGAAAACACACAACAACAACAACAACAACACACACACACACACACACAGAGCCGACTCCATTTGTACCTGTGTCCATTCTGTTGATACACAAACACTCTGGTTTATGTATTGGTCTTATGAACGGGACATGGGATGTCTACCTAATGGAAATGTAGCGACATTGAAATGTCTGGCCCCCCCCAAGCCCTCCCCACGGACCCTCTTCCCCCCCCCACCCCACAAACACCACAAAGCCCTGTTTTTGTAAAATGCCCTCTTCCCTTCTCCCCCTTCACACACTCCCTCCCGTCCTCCTCCCATCTCCCTCTGGTTCAAAGTGCAGTATTTAATACCGTACGTCCTATTATTCCAAATGATTGTTATGCTGTATTTGAACTTTTTATAGATGTATATAAAAATTTTAAAAATCATAGACAAACACACTGGGGAATGCACCGAAACACATATACAGAGACACACACAGGAGAGAGGTTGTTCATTAAATGTGACCATTTCATTATGTTTTTGGTGAGTATGGCACTTGACTTTTCTTTGAAACATATCCAGGTCAGAGGGGTGGAAAGAAGGCAATAACAAGGTGGTCAGTGGGTGACTCACAGATGTCAGTCTCAGAGCAACTCAGAATATTGTTCCTTCCTTCCTTCCATCCATCTTTTCCTCTTTCCTCCCCTATATTTTCCTTCCTTCCTTCCTTCCTTCCTTCCTTCCTTCCTTCCTTCCTTCTATCCATCATCAGTCCTTCCTTCCTTCCTTCCTTCCTTCCTTCCTTCCCTCCCTCCCTCC